TCCCCCCCTCTCCCCATTTGCTGATTTAAATTCATTGAGGACAGGATTCAAAGAATGTGCAAACAAATTTTTAGGGATATTCTAGAAAAATTAATCTTCATTTTTCATGAATTACGAAGGTCGAGTAATTTAAATGGTAATTACCAGAATTTTTTAATCAATTAATCAATTTATTATAATACGAAAGATTTATAAATCTTATAAATCCCAATATTCGGATCTTGAACTATTACGCCCTTCGCAGTGATTTCAATTAATTTGGAGTCAAAGTAATAATTCGATAAAAAAAAAAATTAATATCAATTTTTCACGTACAGACTTTCTGGATAAATAATATTTGGGTAATGAAAATAAATCCTCTTATTGTACTGTTACGTACACGAGGACGAAGCTACAGACAATCCGACACTCACTCAAGATTCTATGTATAGATAAATGAAAATAAAGGCACATGTCTGGATCTCTCTGGTGGCAGTGAAACGTAAAAGCAAGAGAGAGGGATGGAACACAGCATTTTCCGGCTCGATAAAATTAGATGGCAAATGGAGGAAAATAGAGAATTTTCCTGTGCGGGACACTTGCCAGTGGGGGCGGGACGAGAGGGTGGGCCCTAAGCAATTCCCCCCAACAAAAGTAAAAATTTTGTTTTGAAAAATAGCGAATGATACTCAAATGACTCCTACTGACGTCAAACCAGAGATTACGACTTGTAATTCGTCTGTTGATATTTTCACGAACCCTATAGCTCTCTGAATGGAGAAAAATGTACCGGAATGAACTCTCAAACTCTCGAGGTAATGCATAATAATGCAATTACGATGGATAAGGTACATGGGAAATGATTGCTGGGTTTCTCCAGCTCTGACAAACTCGATTACCGTACTTCACTCAATCGTGTAATGGATGGTAAAGGATTGCAGGACGATTTGATACCGTAGGTGTGTCTTATATCATCGGAGCAAGAAACAAATTGTGGAAATTACAGCCACTAGTTTAGTGATTTTTTTAACTGTAAATATATCGTTTTGCTTTGATAAAAATATAAATAATAGTTAAATTTACTTCGACTATTTGGGTGTGACAAAAGGAATGAGTCGAGTAAGAATGACAATTTTCATGGATAATAAAACTGCAGAGGAAATTTACGAGGTGAAAGTTATCCGTGAAAATTTCATAAAATTACTGATGATAATTGATGCAATGGGGAGTAATATTGACCGGTAATTTACATGGACAGCTGACGACACAGCTGCTCGTGTATCCCCACGTGTACACACGCCTTAAACTCCAACATTTGTCTCTTCTTATTCACATTCTACCTCGACTTTGGCTTCCTTTTACCTTTGCTCGATGTACACGTGTGGGCGAGGGCAATGGCTATTTTCTACGAACCTTTATATATGCGAATTGACTCTACCAGCAAAACCGAGAGTTCAAGAACTGTCTCTTCGTTTCCTGCCCAACAATCCAACCACACACTAAAAACCCCAGAAAAATGGAGAAAATCCTGAGTCTTATAAAAATTACCGAACTTTCTAATCAATTCGCCCGGAAGTCATTCCAATTCCACGTCCAAAGAATTCATTATCAAGATTTAATTTTCGGGGAATTTCCCATGAGCAAAAGTTCAATTTCCTCAGTGAATAATTAATCATCAATATCTGAATATAATAATATAACATCGATGGAAGACATGAGAAAAAAAACCGATAAAAAATCGAGAATGGAAAATACTGGATTTTCTGGAAATTTCCAAATAGCAAGAGTTCACTGGAAATTTTCGAAGTAACAGTCTAATTTCCTCAGGGATTACAACATCGATGGCAGACATGAAAAAAAAAAAACCGCTAAAAAATCGCGAATTGAAAATTCTGGATTTTCTGGAAATTTCCAAATAGTAAGAGTTCAGTGAAAATTTTCAAAGTGACAGTTCAATTTCCTCAATAAATAATTAATCATCAATACGTAAATATAAAATCCCTCGAATCTCACGTATAGTAGCATCGTTGGCGGGAAGGTAAAAAAGAACCGAGTAAGAATTGAGAATGGGTGGGATAAGAAGAAGGCATAAAGGTAGTTGGCAACGACCGGACTGCATTCTTGCGCCGTGAGCAGCATAACGGACCCCAGCAGAAACCTCTCCATGGAATAAAAATTGTCAGTTGGTCCAGAAGACTTGAGTCCCCGAGAGGAAGTCCCCAAAAATCAATCACCCCAATTTCACAAAAGCCCGAGTTAAAATCCAACACTTCAGTCTTGGTTGAGACAAAGAAGAAATAAAAATGACGATTAAACACGACGAATAACGAGGAAGTCATGACGACAATTAAAGTCCACCTTTTGCAAGGGGAAGATGCAACGAGTGAATGTTTGGCTTAATCCTCTCTCTCGGTGTCCAGACATACGTCCCCTGACCTGCCTCAAACGCCGGCTGCTGCACCAACATTGGAATGTCCAATGTGCCTAGACCCTCGAGCTATTTTCAACGTCTCCAACATCCCCACCACTGCACATCCCAATCACTCCAAACGTTGGAGAACAAATAATATCCACTAATAGCTCAATCGAATATTTATCGGGTTCAATGGACGTCCTTGAACCCACGAGCAACAACACCAATTTTTATACACCGAGAATAATTTATCGGGAAGAAATTTCTTTCACTGATTTA